TGAAATATTGCATTTGAAATATTTCATTCACATTGCTGCTAGTGTGAAACCCCTATCAGAAAATTGTCACATTGCATGCAATGATTGAAAAAACGAAGAAAGAAAAATGAGACAAAGTTAGTTAGTTGGATAATTTTCGGGTGAAAATGAAAATGAAAATCCAAAGTGTTAGCAGTCGAGAGAGAAAAAAAAAGAAAACTTTACGGGAAAAAAATTTGTGAGAAAGAAATTTTTTTCCGTAAACATTTTGGGCGCCATCACTAAACAAAACAATTTCAGCCAAAATGTTTCAAACTTTTCAAATTTCCGAAAAATTTCTCATTTTAAATCCCGGGAAAGTTTCTCATTCTCAATCTGAATGATGGATCGATTGAAAAAAAGGTTTTCAAAAAATGAAAAAAAATCTTTGTTTCAATGAATTTTTTTTTTTTGAAAAATATGAAACAAAAAATCTTTGCAAAGAGAGAGAGAAAAAAACTTGATGACCTAGATTTTCCAAATTCATTCATTCAATTCAATTCAAGTCTTCGTCGTTGTCGTCGATGTCCACTGCTACAACAACAATCCATTACTGGTGGTGGTAATGTTAGTGAGGAGGGAGAAAACAACGAACAACAACAACAAACAACATGCATTAACGATGATAATGGCCCGTTAGATTTTCTTTTTCAATCTTTTTTTTATAACGTTACGTTTGTTTATGGGCCACCAAAAAAAACAATTCAAACAACAACAACAAAAAAGTTGAAAAAAATAGATGATGATCAAAAGACGAAGACTAAGTCGAAGACGAAAAAGTTTTTTCATCACAAGGAGGGAGGATTCTTACCCCGATCGAATGAAAAAGAAAAGAAAAGAGAGAATCAAGAAGATGCTGATGAGGAAGACTTGACTTGACTAAAACTGTAAAAAAACCTGTATTCGGGCGCCATTTGCGCACAAACACACACACAGATAGAACATCCACAATAAGGCGCCAAATATATCCATCATACACACTTACACAAACAAAATATCAACCTTAAAGATCAACAACAGCAGCAGCCGTAGAAAACTAACGGCAAACAATTTTGAATGGAAATGAAAAAATGTATGCAACAAGTGAGATGGATATCAGGAGAGAGAGAAAGAAAAAATCATTGAAAAAGATTATAGTCACATCAATTTACTTCTGTCTCTTTAAAAAAAAATTCAATTGGATTTTGGATTTTTGATCTGAACAAAACAAAAAAAAAGGGGAAAGAGAAACTTGAACTGAGCAAGGCAATTTTTTGTCAGTTTTTATTTATTTATTTTATTTTCATAGAAAAAGATTTGGAAAAAAAAACATCGATGTATAACATATACGTAGTGTACAGTTAGTTTGTGTGTGTGTCTCGTTTGTGGTAAAAGAATTTGATGATAATTTTTTTTTTTTTGAAGGAAAAAAAGTAAAATTGATTCAGTGAATTTTGTTGTTTTTGATTTTTGACAAAATTTTCTAATTTTTTTCATTTGTTTTTGTTTTTTCATTGCACAGAATCATCGCCAAAACTTTCTAAAAACATTCGTTTGTTTGTTTGTGTGTGTTTTATGAACCAATTTTTTTTTGAATTCTTCCGGAATAATCTTTTGAAAAAAACCTGCGGATAATGCTTTTTGAGCTTAATGTTTCAACAACAACAACAA